GTAGGGGGAGGTGCGGGCTCCTGCCTCTCCCCCCTCCTGTATAACTTTGCTTTCCATTACAGCAGATTACCACAAGGGTCACATTTAGATCAGAGAGGCGTAACATGGCTTGATTACCCGTTCCCTATCTCTCCTCTAATGGACTGCTCATCTCTCAGAAATATGGGTTGGGGCATGTTAATCAAGCTGTGTACAGTCGTTCTTCTAAGCAGCGATTCACTGCATAAGCTGCTGTATGGAGGTGTGCTGTTAAGACAGGAGGGGGGAGAGCCACAGAAAAGCCTGCACCTCCTTCCTGCACTCCCTCTCCTGGCTTCTTGCCGCCGCTAACACCTTCTCCTGTCTTGGAACTTTACATTAGTGTTCACCTCTGCCAATGCTAAAAACCCCACCTTTGCCCCAGGACCTAAGTGTGGGGATTGGGGGAAGAAGCTCAGCGGGCATGGGTACACATTGGTCCATTGGGGGTCCGGCCCTGGAGGGACCACAATATGAAACCTGAGGGCTGCAGTCCACCCCAGCACCCCCTAAATCCGGCAATGGCTTCTAAAATATACATTTTAAGAAAAAGAAAAAAATGTGAAATCCTATAGCCTAGCATTAAATGATAATTTTACAGGATGTTCCTGTCATTCAGTGTAATGAGTTTTTTAACCCCTGTTAAATCCACAACGTGTGTGGATTCATATCAAATGCGAAAATGAACATATTATCTCTGTAATAATTTGAGGAATAATCTACTGAACATTGATAAAACAATTTAAACAAGCCATCGTTTTGATGAACAAACCCTTTTGTGACAAATCTTCTGGAAGAGAAGGCTCTTTTTCTCTTCCTTAAAGTGTTACTAAACCCACAACAGTAAAAACAGTCTGTATATGCCAGTAAAGCATGCTTGTTATACTCACTGTGGAACTCCTAAGGGGTTAATACCTCATGCATTATGTAAAAATGCTGTTTGATCCTGACTTCTCAGATCCCAAGCTTTAACCAGGGCTCTGCTGGACAGTGATAGAAGTCATAGGACTGCTCTAACTGCTGTTGGGGAAAGCTATTTAGCAGTTTATATTTACTAAAACAATGGCATTTCCATGTTTTGTGTACTGTGGGAGACCAGATATAGTGAATGCAGGGTCCAGGGTTTAGTAACACTTTAACTTCAGAATCCTTATTTTTTATCTGAGAGCATCTAGAAGCATCATATTATTTTCTTGCACCTTCTTGTAACAGCCCCAATAAGAGTTTCTTTGTATCTCCTCCTCAAAGTGACGCGTTTTGGGTGGTGGGAAGAGATCCCTTGGTTTTACCTTTGTATCAGGAAGGGGTGAAACAAACCTCTTGATGCCACCCTAAATTTCTTCCTTCTCACCTCAAGCATCACCAACCACCAGAACCCCAACTCCTCTCCTTCACCTCACCACCAGCACTTCAATACTCCTGCTGACCAGAGGTACGTGGAGGTTTATGGTGATAGATCATATCATAGACAGCCAGCTGGGAATCGGGGATATCAGGTGAATAAGAGGAGGAAAATGCAGCATTTGTAGTCCAAATAAATGTGTGTCATGAAGGAGGAGGATGAGGGTGAGGAGGAGGTGTACAAACCTAGGACTTTCTTTGTTGAAGCGCAACTACACTACATCTGAGCACCACAAAGCAAAAATACTATTTAATTCTTTTTTTTTTTTTAAACAATTTTATTGAATTTTATACACTTGGTCCAAAAATATCTTAACATACAAATCTGTAAACCATGTTTTCCATAAGAGTGGTGAGTACAGAAGTCAGTACAACTTCTGTAATGAAAACAAAAGGCAGTGTCCGAATTGACATCAATGACATAACAAATCAGTATACCATAAGCAGAATTCCAAAAGTTAAGCAATTCCCTAGGAACGGAAGCTTGGTTAAGAAGGCCTGAACAAGAACATCGCTATCAAAAAGACAATTGAGAAAGAGTGTTGTGTGAGCTAAGAATCATAAGGAGGAGCACAGGCTCCATTAGGTGACTGGATAATAGAAAGCTGTGGAGTGGGACTACAAGAGAAGTTGGACAATCGTAGTTTCCCAGCGTATTGGTAAGTTGAGCTTTGAGATACCAAGCCAAATATCGAAAAGGTTCCATGTGAGTGGCTAGTTCCACAGGAGTAAAGGAGTATTCCATGAAGCGGCACCATCTAGAGATAAAGCGATACTGTATGTAGACTTAAAATTCTGAGTAATGGTGTCCAGCTTCTCCAGATTAAATAGGGCAGTTAATGCCTTTATTACCATCTTCAGCTGTGAGGGGTTTGGCTGTATCCAAGCTTGCATGAGTGCTCTGCGAACTACCAATAAACAAATATGGATCCTCTGAGGAAGAGCATCAGTACTTGCTGACATCGTGGGATCTTGATAATTGAAGAGACAGAGCATAGGGCCTTTGGTGAGAGAGGTGTTGTATAGTTGTTTAACCACTTGCCTACCGGGCACTTATACCCCCTTATTTACCAGGCCAATTTTCAGCTTTCAGCGCTGCCGCACTTTGATTGACAATTGCGCGGTCATGCAACATTGTACCCATGTGAAATTTTGATCATTTTTTTTCTCACAAATAGAGCTTTCTTTTGGTGGTATTTAATCGCCACTGGGTGCTTTACTTTTTGCGCTATAAATAAAAAAAGTGCAAGGTATTTTTTCTCCTTCACTGATGTGCGTTGATGAGGCAGCACTGATGGGCACGGATAGGCGGCACTGATAGGCAGCACTAAAGGGCACTGATAGGCAGTACTAATGAGGTGGCACGGATAGGTGGCACTGATAGACAGCACTAATGAGGTGTCACGGATAGGCGGCACTAATATGCAGCACTGATAGGCGGCACTGATAGGTGACACTGATGATGGGTACTGATAGACGGCACTGACTGGCATCACTGCTGGGCACTGACTGGTGGCACTGACTGGCACAACCCCTGGGCACTGAAAGGTGGCACTGACTGGCAGCACTGCTGGGCTGCACTGGTGGGTGGCACTGGTGGGTGGGCACAGGTGGGTGGCACTGGTGGGCACAGGTGGGTGGCACTTCTGGGCACAGGTGTGTGTGACACTGCAGAGTGGCACAGGTGGGTGCACTGCTGGGCACAGGTGGGTGATCTGCTGGGCACAGGTGGGCGGAGCTAGTGGGCACACTGCTGGACACAGGTGGGCGGAACTTCCGGGTGGCACTGCTGGGCACCGATCATCAGGGCACTGATCATCAGTGCCCTGATGATCGGTGCCGATCCCCGCTCTGACAACTGCCGGTTCTCGGCAGTACTTTCCTCACGATCTGACAGCGTGAGGAAAGTGCAGCCGAGAACCGGCACTTGCATTTCCCTCTGATCAGCGTGTCATTGGACACCGCTGATCACGTGGTAAAAAGCCGCTGTGATTGGCCTTTTACCACATCACGTGATCAGCTGTGTCCGTAGGACACAGCGATCATGGAGATCGCCGGGTCCGCGCCCCCTGGGGTGCGCAGGAGAGCGCGTTCTGAGAGGACGTCATATGACGTCCACTCAGAACTGGCCGGCCGCAGTGCAGCCGTCATTCGGCTATCTGCGGTTGGCAGGTAGTTAATGTAACAAAGAACTCAAGGGATGTTGTTTTGGAGAATAGCACATCTGGAGGAAGATCACCCGTTGATGGTAGTAAAAGATGCCCGGTAAGGAGTATTTTGCAGCTAGTACTGAAAAAGGTTGGAAGGTACGTTTGGTATCATCAAAGATGGATATGACTTTTGTAAGTCCGCTATGAGACCAGTGTGTAAATTCTGCATGCTCACTCACTGGAGGGAACATAGGGTTTCCAAGAATAGGCAGGTGGGAGGATATCCTTAGTGGTAGGCCAAGTAGTTTCTGCATTTCTCTCCAGGCCAATACTGTGTCTCTGAACAGTAGATTCAATCGGAGAGACCGAGGTAGGGTCTTGAGGTTAGAATGCAGAATGGCTGGAAGGTGTAGCGGAGACACCAGCGTCTCCTCTAGGGAGTAGTTTGGTTAACGTGATTTCCCAGTAATCCAATCAAGACTCTGATGAAGAAGACAAGACAGGTTGTAAAATCTAATATTCGTTTAATTCATTTTTAACCACTTGCCTACCGGGCACTTATACCCCCTTCTTTACCAGGACAATTTTCAGCTTTCAGCGCTGTCGCACTTTGAATGACAATTGCGCAGTCATGCAACATTGTAACCATATGAACTTTTTATAATTTTTTTCTCACAAATTATTATTATTATTATTATATTATTATTATACAGTACAAATAGAGCTTTCTTTTGGTGGTATTTACTTGCCACTAGGTGTTTTACTTTTTGCGCTTTTAACAAAAAAAGAGCAAAAAGTTTGAAAAAAAAAGTTTCTCTGTTTCTATTATAAAATTTTGCAAACAGGTAATTTTTCTCCTTCACTGATGTGCGTTGATAGGCAGCACTGATGGGCACTGTAGGTGGCACTGATAGGCAGCACTGAAGTTCACTGATAGGCAGCACTGATAAGCAGCACTAATGAGGTGGCATTGATAGGCGGCACTGACTGATAGTCGTCACTGATAGGCGGCACTGACAGGCGGCACTGCTGGGCACTGACTGGCTGCACTTCTGGGCATTGACTGGGGCAACTGCTGGGCACAGACTGGCGGCACTTCTAGGCTGCACTGATGGGCACTGGTGGGCACAGATGGGTGGCACTGCTGGGCACAGATGGGCGGCACTGCTAGGCACAGGTGGTTGGCACAGGTGAGCACAGGTGGGTGGCACTGCTGGGCACAGGTGGATGGAACTGGTGGGTGGCACTGCTGGGCACTGATCATCAGTGCCCTGATGATCGGTGCTGATCCCTGCTCTGACAACTGCTCTGACAGCGTGAGGAAAGTGCAGCCGAGAATCGGCAATTGCATTTCCCTGTGATCAGTGTGTCATTGGACACGGCTGATCACATGGTAAAAGGCCACTGTGATTGGGCTTTTACCACATCACGTGATCAGCTGTGTACGTAGAACACAGCGATCATGGAGATCGCCGGGGGGCGCAGGAGAGCATGTTCTGGGAGGACATTATATGACGCCCTCCCAGAACTGTCCAGCCACAGTGCAGCCGTCATTTCGGCTATCTGTGGTCGGCAACTAGTTAATATTCAAAGCAAACTCAACCACCCATCCATGTCTCCCTGCTTTATTTTGCTTAGAAATCTCTTGGAGCAAACATGGGTAGGAACAGTAATGCTTACTGGCTTACAATAATTACAACAATGTTAATTTTAACATACTGTTAAAAAGTAAAACCTATTACCACTGCATGCAGAACTTATGCCTCTGACTTTAGGCCTGGCTGTCCTTTTTTAAATTATTTAAATATCAGTTTTGGCAATGGGGGAGATAAATACGTGGCACTTTGGTGCACACAACTTTACTAAGCAAGTATGCATTGACCAGCTGTAAACATAAGGCAGCATTGTGTCAGCAAATGTCATTGTAAAAAAATGTAACTCCACAAAATAGAAACTATAGGCTATGGCCAAAGCTTTTCCCAATGCAGTTATGCCTCCAGTGCTCAGGATTTAGCCACCATTGGAAAATGCAGCAAATAGTTTACTTGTAACTTCTCCTCAAAATGATGCATTTTGGGGCTCCCCCTGAGCAGGAGATCCGCTAATTTTAACTTTGTATCAGGGAGGGGTGAAACCTCCTGAAGCCACCCCACATTTTTTCCTCCCCACCTCCAGTACCGTCAGCCCTCCTCCCTGCCAGAACCCCAAATCTTCTACTCCTCTGCCTGACTGCGAGATGAGGAAATGGGTGCACTTGCAGTACTTAAAAGAGTGGCTGCCCTTGAGGAGAAGGAAAAGGAGGAAAAGACTGCATTAGAAGTTCAAAACATTTGGCAATCGCATTTGAATCAAAACAAATTAGAATTTGAATGGCAATTTAAATTTTTCTGAATTCAGTCAAATTGAATTCAATTAAGGAAATTCAAAAAGGAATAAATGAAACAAATTCAGAAAACAAATTCTATGAATTTAGGTAAATGAGATGTGTTAATTAACAAGTCAAAAGAAAACCATTTTTTCATTATGCACATGTCTGCTGCTAATATATGATCATGGCACTCCTATCCTCACCCAGAATCAGGGGCGGACTGACCATTTGGAAACTCGGGCACTGCCTGAGAGCCCAGGGTCAGTAGGGGGCCCCATGAGATGCCCCTGGTACCTTTTTCATAGGGTTTTTTGAGTTTGGGCAAGGACACAGGGGCCCCATGATCCCCTATTGCCTGGGGGGCCCCATGAGTTGTCAGTCCGCCCCTGCCTAGAACAGAGATTGAGACTAAGAGTGATTGACACTGTCATTTACCTCCACAGTTAACCCTTTGCACAGACAACAACTGCCACCTCATGTTTTATCTGAAACACCTTTCACAATATCTGCTGTAACAATTTGGACCATAGTGCTTGCGCTTGCATGAGTTTTTCAATGATCCTGCAGTCTTCTGGGATATGAGAGGTTGCATGCGGGGGACAGCAGGAGCAAAGCAGAAGTGGGAGCAGGTACCTGTCAGAAATAGGTACCAGCTCATTGGAAAAAAAAAAGTTCCCTTTAATGACTTTAATGAGGGAGGATAAGCGGAAATTTACATTTTAGATGGAGTTTCGCTTTAAGTTCTGGTGTAGAGAATTTAGAGATAAAGCCTATTGGTTTTTAGATGTCATTTAATGACAAGACAAGAAAATATTCCCTCAACATTGGTGGTCAGTGGAGGTTTACAGGTGTAGGCTCCTGTAATGCTGTTTCCCAAAAACCTCTGGGACATGCCTAAGGGTACACATTGATCTCGTCAATTGCTCTCTGGTGTTTAGAAGGACCATTCCTGATGAGACAGTATTGACTTAGTATATGAGCTGTTACTTGGTGACTGCTTGATATATTTTCTAGTGTGAGGGCCACCTAGTTTTAAAACAAGAACATGCAATTTCCTTCCAAGGCACAGTCATTACATAAAGCACTGTGCAAGCTGTGTCCTGGTTGCTGAACTTAAATTGTGGTGGTTCTGTGCATGCAGCCATTATCCTATGTATCTGGAGCAGAGACTCTTCCGGCCATTACCTGAGTAGGTCCAAGTATTCCTTCACTTGCACACCTGGACTTTTATCTCCCTGTGAGGGAGGTATTGCCCTATAGCAGCAGTTCTCAACCTGTGGGTCACGACCCCTTTGGGGGTCGAACAACTCTTTCACAGGGTGTCTCCTAAGACTATCGAAAAACACATATTTCCGATGGTCTTTGGAACCGAGACATCTCTCCTCTATCAGTCTCCAGGCAGGTCCGCCCACATGCAGATACGTCCACATTTCCCTGGACGCGATGTTTGCGCGGGATGACATGCCGCCCCTGTCATCTGGCCACATCCCCGGGATCACTCAACAGCTCCCCCTCCTCGCCAGTGATTGAACTGTAGCTCAGGAGAGGCACACAGGCGGCCAATCACTGGCGAGGAGGAGGAGCCGAGCAGCAGCGCGAAGATCAAAGAAGATTGAGCAAGGAAGACAGCTGACAGGTAAGTGTCTGTAGCGTGCAGATGGTGCTGCTGCACCCAGGTATGCTGGCTGTAGATGGGAGAGGGAGGGAGCAAGCCCAGGTTGGAGCAGGAGTTACCAAGGTAAGTATCATTGGTGTCAGTAGGAGGAATAGTGCCCCATCATTGGTGTCACTAATACCAATGATGGGGCACTATTCCTCCCAATGACACCAATGATGGGGCACTATTTTCCTCCCCCCCCCCACTGACACCAACGATGGGGAACTATTCCTCCCCTCACTGACACCAACGATGGGGCACTATTCCTCCCCCCACTGACACCAACGATAGGGCACTATTCCTCCCCCCACTGACACCAACGATAGGGCACTACCCCCCCCCCCCACTGACACCAATGATGGGGCACAATTCCCCCCCACACTAGTATCAATGATGGGGCACTATCCCCCCCCCCCACTGACACCAATGATGGGGCACTATTCCTCCCACACTGACACCAATGATGGGGCACTATTCCTCCACAACAATGTGGCACTATTCCTCCACCAACAATGTGGCACTATTCCTCCCACTGATACCAACGATGGGACACTATTCCTCCCACTGACATCAGTGATGTGGCACTACTCCTCCCACTGACACCAATGATGGGGCACTATTCCTCCCACTGATACCAATGATGGGACACTATTCCTCCCATTGATACCAACGATGGGACACTATTCCTCCCACTGACATCAGTGATGTGGCACTACTCCTCCCACTGCAAAATTACAGTTATGAAGTAGCAACGAAAATAATTTTATGGTTGGGGCTCACCACAACATGAGGAACTGTATTAAAGAGTCGCGGCATTAGGAAGGTTGAGAACCACTGCCCTATACGATCACAGGTAGCCATTAGTGTTGACATATCTGTCTCTACGTATTGGGGTTGTTTTACTAAAATTGTCGAGTGCAAAATCTGGTGTAGCTCTGCATAGAAACCAATCAGCTTCCAGTTTTTTTTGTTAAGCCTTATTGAACAAGCAGAAGTTAAAAGCTGATTGGCTACCATCAAGGCCGGTGCTAGACTATTTTGTGCCTTAGGCAAGACCATCTACTTGTGCCCCCCCCCCCAAAAAAAAAAAAATTAATAAAACATTTTAAAAACAGTAGAAAATATTAAATTAACAAACCACGAAACTGCTGAATTTCTTTTCATTTCCAAAAATAAGTGCCATAAGATGCCATCAGCACCAATATTAAAGACAAAATATATATTAATCAAATATAAATTAACTGTATTAACCAAAAAAAGGAAAAAAAAAGAGACTGAGTTACAAAACTCCACAGTGATCAGCAGTCACCAGCCGGCTTGCAGTAAGGGACTGAGTCTGAGAGGAACACTGGAAGGAGTGGCAGCTCAACTGCTACACTGGCCCCAGACATCAAATGGTCATGTGTGTGGACAGGCTGTGAGACAATTGTGCAGAGTAAAGATACCATTATTCCCTCATCATTCCGTGTATGAGGAGAGGGGGGACTCTGTAGAGAAATAATGAATTCATGCAAGAGGTCCATAGGTCACACAGAGAGAGTGCCGGCCTTTGCTGCGTCCAGGCACCCCTAGGTGGTAGTGCGCCCTAGGTGGTTGCCTAGTTTGCCTAGTGGAAGCACTGGCCCTGGCTACCATGCACAGCTGCACCAGATTTTGCACTTTCCAATGTTAGTAAATCAACCCCACTGTCTCATAAACTGTGCTGCCACCTAGTGACCCTTAACTAGTTGCCGACCGCAGATAGCCAAATGACGGCTAAACTGCGGCCGGCCAGTTCTGAGTGGACGTCATATGACGTCCTGCGCCCCCAGAACGCGCTCCATCGCTGCGGACACAGCTGATCACGTGATGTGGTAAAAGGCCAATCATACCGGCCTTTTACCACGTGATCAGCGGTGTCCAATAACACGCTGATCACAGGGAAATGCAAGTGCCGGTTCTCGGCTGCACTTTCCTCACGCTGTCAGATCGTGAGGAAAGTACTGCCGAGAACCGGCAGTTGTCAGAGCGGGGATCGGCACCGATCATCAGGGCACTGATGATCAGTGCCCTGATGATCGGTGCCCAGCAATGCCACCCACAAGTTCCGCCCACCTGTG